CTACGAGATCTCGCGAATACTGCGCTTGGACTCGTGTCACGCCCCCAACGGATCACGCCTGAGTCATAGTAGACTTATAAGATTGTGGCAATAAATTTTATTGCTTTTCGGCACAAATCATAAAGTGTCGACAGTTATAGCGCCACCGGCGTTAATCGCAGGGAAACTTAAGTGGACAGGACTGAACTGCACGAATGTGTATGGTCGATCCACTGGACGGAAAGCGATAAAATGTACAATCGTACGCAGCAACTGAGAAACATCGCATATGGACTAAAGGAGCCAATCGGATATAACAAGGACTACATCATAGTTTTCAATGACTTCGGGAAGCCTTCGTGCCAACCGGTAAGCTGCCAACGTTGCGATGTCAATACGCTGCCCAGGAGGCCGAAGACAGAAATGACGACGATGGCTTAGAGGAAGGATTTGAGCAGTACATGTGCGATGTGCAGGCTGTCCGCGAGCTCATAGGAAAGGTCGATGAGGGCGCAAAGGGCATATACGCCCTCATCGACCTCAGCGCCAGCGCAGTCACCACCGACCACAACGCCGATGTAAGCACTAAGCTGAACCAACTCATCGAAAGCACGAACGATTTCTGTTCGCGGTGCAAGGTTTCCATAACGGCGCTGGAGACAGAAAAGGACAAGGGCACGGCAACGGAGTCGAGGATGAGGAGCAACGCGTACAATGTCTGCCTGAAGCACTTCCAGTCCGCAGTGAAGCGCTACCAGGATGCACAAATTACCTTCAAAAAGGCTATTAAGGAGCGTACCGCCAGGCAGGTACAGCTCATATACCCAGAACTGGACGCGTCCGAACTCGATCGCATGATGGCACCGGGCAACGCGCAGCAGGTGCTCGAGCAAGCCGCGCGGTCCGCGATCATAGGGGGCGGTACCCTGATTGACGCAGTGAACAACATTCAGTCCAAGTACAACGACGTGCTCGCACTGGAAGACAGCGTGGAGGAGCTGCACCAGATGATGATCGAACTCGCGGGCATCGTGAGGTACCAGGGCGAACTCATCGATCAAGTGGAGTATAACACCATGAAGGCCGTTGAGTACACCGAGAAGGCGAACGTGGAGCTGGTCAAGGCGCAAGATCTCAAGCGACGCAGAAATAAGCTGATCATGTACATCACCGGCGGAGCTACGGTGGGCACGTTGATGATTGTTGTGCCTCTGGTGCTTAAAGTGGCTTGAAGGCCGTGTGTGTGCTTGGGAGAAGCACCGCCAAGCGGAGGAACGCACCGCACGGTGGAGCTTGTTCACACAATCATACTAATCGTACACGACTGTATAAGGGCAACTCTTAGGCAGTGTTGATTAGTTTGCGGTATATTTCTTAGCACTTATTGTCACTAGCCGGTAAGGCCACAGCGTCCCAGCCGTCATGCACTGTTGGAAGGCAGGCTGCCTAAATTAGTGGAAACTGGATAGAAGGTCGTGTGTATAGGTTCTGTGTTTTATTTTATTGCTGATAATCGTAAATGACGCTGCGCGCTTTTTGAATGAAAAACTGGGGAACACACCTCCTCAGCCGTGGGTTCAGACAGTCACCCACATGTCGAGCAACGCATACAAAATGAGCGCGGATAACTCGCTGAGCCTCGAGGCCCTTCACGGAGCGCTGGAGGGCTCGCTCTCGCCAGACCATAAAGTGCGTAAGCAGAGCGAAGACTACCTTCTAAAGGTGAGTACTCGACGCCGTGAGCCGCGGATTCAGCTGCAACCGGCCTTCCGGCGCATCGGTTACGTAGAATTCAGTACGCCGTAGATTACGACAATAAAAGGGGCGATACCGCTTCTTTTTTCCTTCATCTCCGCTGATCGCGTCGACTCCGCCATCAGGCTGGCCGGTGCCGTCAAACTCAAGAATCTGGTGCTTTCCCAGTGGCGGAAGACCGATGGACTATGCGCCGAAGACAGGGCGGCGCTCTGGGGCAACATCTACGATGCGGTGCTCGTTGTCGGCCCTGGAAACGACGCCATTAGGCGCCAGTGCTTCGAGACCCTCCGGCATATCGTTTTCAACGCGAGCCGGGGGGACGTCAGTCCGATCGTGCAGCGTATAAAGACTGACATCGAGCAGCGTTCCAATGGCGACACGTTGCTATGTGCGCTCAAAGTGCTCCGCAAGCTCATGTATCGTTACGAGTACCACTCCTCGTCACTCACAGAGGAGGTGAACGCGTTGGTCGACACATTCTTCGGACAGCTGCTTAAGGTCGCGCAGGATGCGTCCAAGGCAGGGATGGACTCGCCAGATGCAGCTACGTGCATCCACCACGTGCTCAAAATCTACTTCTCTATGGGTCTGCTCACGACGCCGACGACAAAAACAGTGGAGAACACGCTGCAGGCATGGATGGCGCTCGTGCAATTCGTGCTTGACAATCCAGTGCCATGGAACAAGCTATACACACCGGGAGAGCACACCATGTTGCCGTATGCCGAGCTGTCAGATGAGGAGGAGGCGCGCCTCCGTATGATGCCGCGGTTCAAGTGCTTCAAGTGGGCGCTCCAGATCCTTACCAAGTACATGTCTAAGCAAGTGCCACGAAAAACCGAGGAGGAGGATGGTAAGAAGCACTACGTGCGCTATATCAAGGACGGCTATGCTGTGGAGTTCGCCAAGAAGCTCGTGATCCTCATGCAGGCCGAAACCACCGGAAATGCAGTGTTTACAAACTACCTCCACCACAAAATGTGGACGTACCTCAAATACGCGCTCGCGTTTCCGCAAGTTTACACCGCGTCCATCCAACCATGCGCGTCGGTCATCGTGCAAATGCTCTTCCGGACCTTCGCGTGCGGCGTCAACGATGAGCAGCGGTACGTCGAGGATCCGGAGTCCTACATGCAGAGCTGCCCCGAAATTACCTTTCAACTGCAGTCGTTGAGGGGCACCGCCGCGGATTTCATCAAAGACGCCTGCAAAATAAGGAAAGCGGACTTTGCGCCAATAGTTATCGCTGCGGCCAAGCAGGTCTTCGGCGACCGCGGCAACTCCGTGCCCGAGGTCTATGGAGTGATGTGTCTCATCGGACACACTGCAAGAGGGGTGTTGCAGAACAGTAAAAGGACAAAGGGCAAGTCATCGGCCAAGATCACCGACGTGCCCGATGAACAGCTGCTCGACGGCGAGGCTCTTGTCGCAGCGTACGTCGTGCCCGCGCTCGCCTCTTCAGACAAGTGGCTCCGCATGCGCAGTGCCTGGCTGTGCGGACGGATTGTCATGAGCACCCGCGCCTGGAGGGACTCTCAGACGCTCCTCAAACTGTATTCCATGCTGTTGGAAATGATAGGAGATCAGGAAATTCTTGTATCCGTCATGGCCACTGGCGCGGTCCTCGGGTTCTTCCACTCCTCTGATGAAACGCTGCAGAGCACCATCGTCAAATACCTGCCGCACCTGCTGCAAAGCCTCTTTAAACTCATGGAACGCATCGAGTTGGAAACGGTGATTTCCACGCTCGACGAAATAGTGGCAAAATACTCGGTTGAGGTGCTGCCCTTCGGCGCGCAAATAGCGGAAAACGTCTGCAACGCCCTTTGGAACAGCCTCAGCGCCAACGGGACGGCGGACAGTAACGGGGACGACAACAGCGATGAGCAGGTGTTGGCGCGGTGGTCCATGATTCAGACGTTGACGTCGATCGTGAAACTTGTGGCATCTACCGACGCAAAGGACATGACGGCCAGGGACTGCGAGATGTTTGCAAAAATCGTGCAAAAGACCGCCACACTTATTTCCACCCTGTACGAAAACCTGGACCTCGACAGGCTGATGGAGTTCGTCGACGACCTTGCGCTTATGCTCGGCTACCTGGCGAAGATCACGCACAAGATCGTCGGATTCGCCGGTGAGGAAAAGACGGCGACCATGGGGGTGCGTTTTGCCGACATGTGGAAGCTGCTAGAGCTATTCTTGCGGGCCATAGCGAACTACCATGCGATTGACGAGGACGAAGGGGAGGAAAACCCGATGGTTATAGTGGATCTCAGCGTCGTGCGCGACCCTGTCAGAAGTCTGCTGGCGTACGCCCCCAGCGGCTTCACCTTCGAGGTCGCCGTGCAACTGTACACGCTATGCCAGCGGGCCAGCAGCGGCGACGACACGCAGCAGGCGGAGCGCCTCCTTGCCGACATGTTTGAGGTGTCCATAAATAGCCGCGCTTGCGACCGCATCCTGGAGGTTGCGGCGAAGGAACTTGCGCAGACCGTCGTTGCCGACTACACGGCAATCACGGAGACTCCCATGTATTTCAAGTCGCGAATCAGGTATATCGCCGTGCTGCTCACCTACTCCTGTGGGGAAAATCCGCCTCTGAAAAGCATCACCAATCTCGAAACGCTCATACGAGTTCTCATGCTCGTGTCCCCCGGTGGAAGGTCCAAGTACATGCGGAAACTGTATCTCCTCTGTTTCTCGTCCCTCATGCAGGTAGGCGTTCTGTCCTGCGAAGGGGAGAGCATTGCGAGTGCGATTGACGAGTTGCTGCTTGACGAGTCCGGGGTGATGGAGGAGGGTGGCATGGGCTATGAGGTCGATGGGTCTGGAGACGACGACGATGATGACGACGAAGACGAGTACGACTACGCTTCGGATAGCGACGACTATGACACGGACGACGATTATTACGACGAGAGCTACGACGATGAGGACTTCGACGACGGTTGCTCGCCTCTGGACGGCGCGAACGTCTTGCAGATGAGCCAAAGGGTTTTGGCCGGCAAGCCCGCGCTCTGATCCAGACTCAGAGAACACGCTCAATGAAGCTAAAGTTTAAAGCTAGTCAAGTACATCGAGCAACGTTACACGATTAGATGGGCGGCGAATGCATTGTCAACGGGTCCGCAACTGACTACGTGCCAGGCGAGCAGCAAGCACTTACGTCTCCCCGCAGCCGCTAGTATGATGCGATGACGGTGCGCTGGGTCAACAATGCAGCGCAAAAGGCGTGCGACGATAAAATTCACGCGCGTAAATTGATCCATGTGGGGCTCGAACCCACGACATTTGGCTCATAAGACCAACGCTCTAACCACTGAGCTAATGGATCATGGGTAATGGCTGATTTTTACCTTCATACACGACTAAAATGTTATGAGTTGCAGCGAAGCGCGTCGTTACTGGTCAATTGTGCCGATTTAGTTTCATGAATAAATTAGAACAGTGTCAGCCTTCCTCGACTACGGCGTCCTTTGCCGAGGCGTGTTCGTCGCGTTTCGATTGCAAATTGCGGAGAGTGTTTTTGCAGCGGTTGATCTGCTGCAAAAAGTAGTCCACGTATAGCTTCTGGTTCTGCCGACTCTTGATGTACAAAATGTTTTGGTCAATGTAGAGGTCAACGTCGCCATCGGATGCCCCCGGAACTAGGTCGCCACCGCCGGAGGAGCTCCCAAACTGACGGGCCTGGTGCTTAACGCTGAGCACGTATGAGCGGACGAGCTCGCGGTCGTCGCCAATCTTCATGAGCGCTGCCAGCTTCTCCAGGTTGACGTTGTGGTACAACTTCGCAAAGGAGTATATCTCGTCAACACGGCGCTGGTTGCCAATCTCCTTCAAGAAGAGGTTCAGCTGACGCTGCACAGGCTCGCTCAGAGATCCGCCAGTGACTTCCGAGTCGTACTCGTTAGAGGAAGTGCCGCTGGAAGCGTCAATGAATTTGGGGCAGCACTTCAAAAAGGTGTCGCGAAAAGACTCCTCGTTTTCTCCTTGAAGCCTGCCAAGAATGTCAGCGTTATAATAGCAAAACTCACTGGTAAAAGCGATTCGCGTATTGTTCCTTGATGGTCTGGATGATCGTTTCATCAAGGCGAATCTTCGTCGTGGTGTGGCAAAGAATCAAAATGAGGTACATTTTTTCCGTTTGTTTAGCCATGGCGCCTTGCTGGTAGCTCTGAGTGATGACATAGCTACGCTGCTTTGTTAAGAAAATCAAAATTTGCGATAGAACCTTGATGCAATCGCTGTATCGCCTGAGCAGCTCTGATACGCAGTATCAACGCAACCACCAACCTCAGCATCATGTAAGCGAAACCCAGGTGGTAGAATAGGGACACGTAGTACGAAGGAACCTTCCAGTAAAGGAATTTGCTCGAAATGTCTATAGCTGAAGCGACGCGTACCGAAGTGTAGTAATCACCCAGGAGGACGTGCAGACGCACCAGAGAAATAGAGGCGAAGTATCCCAGCTGGAAGCTCACACCGGCAGACTCCAGGCCATCCTGAAATAAAATTATATCGATTGAAGTATATAAATCATTCAAAAATGGAATCAAACAAAGTGCAAAGGCTGTGACCATTGAGCCCGCACAGAAAGAAGAGGGAGCAAAGGCACTAACGCGCGGCGCAGTAATACGCGGCAAAGCGAGTATTAATACGTTGCGTTTCAGATGAAGTTAAAAACCGTGTGAAATTTTGACTTACCCGTTGAGCTGGATGCGCCGTAGTTTGGAAAACAGGGTTTGAAGCCAAACGATGTAGCATCTCCAGCACAGTAGGCACCTTCCATATGGAATGTATTTTCGCATCATCGACAAAATTAGAGGAGTCGTTGCGGTTAAGACGTGATCTCCACCGACAGCACTCCTGTAACTGATAGACGAATTCGTCAAGCATATCCCAGACCCAGGAGGCGGGGATAACCAGCCCGCTCAGATCGTCTGAACCGTCCGACTTTTCCACTTCGTCGATAAAGTAGCCCAACAACTTGGAATACTTCTCCCACGAGTCAAGACGATCCTCAAACGTAACATCGCCCAGATAAAACACGTGCCGATAGTACATCTCGGAGTAAAGCGCCATAATTAGGCTGTGCAACCGGCCGCTCTGGCTGTAAAATCCAGCCACAGCAGATATGGAGGGCCATCGTGACGACTTGAAGTGTTTTTCCGTTATAGCGCTGAACTCCTGCTCATACAAAAGTTTCACTGCTTCTGCATTGCGGTGGTATAGACTATCGTACAACCGCAAGAGGAAGTCAACCACCTCAGACTCGCGGGGAATCATACCACCCAGACCGCGCTGTGGGCTGTCGTTCCCGCTGATTTGGCGAGTGAATTCTTCGGAAGCCATTGTGTCAAAGTTTGCAATGAATTATTCTCAAAATCATTATACACATAGAATCCGTGGGGCCTGTGCGCGTCCCCCGCCCTAAAATGGAAAATACCAAGTGTTTTGTTGTTATTTACGTATAACCAAATTAGTTAGAATTAGGCGTAATGTCAGCGTTGTATTTGTGATGCTGATGCCTGTCACAGGTGTCGTTGCGCAAATGCCGGCTTACATCATTCAAATGCTAGTATATTGCGATAACTTGTCGCAGTAAACTAATGTAAGTTTGTTTTTACTCGAGCAAAAGATGACGTGGTTACATACAAAGTTGAAAACACTGTTTTTCAAGTAACAAACTGAAAGACAAAAATGGCGGGCGCTATGACGCTCCATTTAGATTCCACATGAAATTCAATCACCGCAAAATACAGTGGATTTATATTACTATCGCGCTATCACAAGGCAAGTCACGTGCTGCAATGCCGCAACTACAACTGTGCCCACAAACTTGCATCCCTCGTTGCACAGGCATTGACCTGATCACATGGCAGCCATGATGAAAACAGCTGCCAGTATGCACAGGGCACCGGTGGAGAACGTCAGCTGCCCCGACTTTAAAGTGGTAAATGGAGCTTTACGGAAGGTGATTCTGACTTTGGTGTCAGTGTCTTGCTCAACATGCTCCTGGCTCCTCGGTGACGCTGCTGCTGCTACCGGTAGAGTCGGTGAGGCGGCCCCCTCCGTTGAAGCTGGGTTGTTCGCAGTCGTTACTGGTGCTCCGCGGAGAATGCCGCCACCTGTAGACGCCATTTCGTTCACATGTCCGTTGTTATCCAGCTCAGCTTTTGGTGCGGCAGACGGTTCCTTTATTTCCGACGCATCCTCATCACCTTTCCCGGCTACCCTACCGTTGTCAGAGGGTGCTGTTGCTGCTTCCGGTAGAGTCGCTGAGGCGGCCTCCCCGCCTGTCACATTGGCCTCTTCTGACGATAATTCCTCGACCATCTCATTAAGGTGTTGCATTAGAGGTAAGGCTCTGCCACAACGTGCTATGAATGTGCACAGTTGTCCATAATCTAAAAAGCCATCGTGTCCTCGTAACCGCTGCTCGAGGCCACTCATTCTCGCCGTCAACGCGGCTTTCTCGACTTCCGTAAGTTCCTTTCGAGTCAGTTCACGGCGTGCGAAATCGTATTCGCGATAAGTATCCCATACCAACTGAAATGTAGGCAGCTCATCGCGCAACTCGTTGTATGCCTCACTGGCTACTTCGTATGCTTCCTTGAGCTTTTCAAACTCCGGATCTGTGTTACTCTGCACCTTAGTGAGCGTCTCCTCTGTAAGTAGTTTTCCGGCGAGGCCTCGTATCCGGTTTACATCGTTATTCGCTAGATACATGGCATTGTAGTACTCCTTCTTGTTCAAGTATTCGTGAATAATTCTTGCTTGAAATTCGGCATCACCGAATGAACCGCTTGGAGAACCAGAGATGGTCTGCTGGGCGCCAGGAACCGGCGCAGCATCGCGTGCCTCGCCACTTCCTACTGCGGTCTCTCTATCATTAGAGAACAAGTAACATATGTCATCTTCCAGTTCTCTCCTCCCTGCAACATCGCTTGCTGTGTTAGATGGTGACTCTGCAGAGCGTCCTGACGCGTAGTGGTGCTCTTCCATCGGCTCCCAATCGCCCTCATGTTTGAACCCCGCTATGAAATCAGTAGCGTCGGCTATCCAAGTTGTACAACTCTTCAACGTATCATATATACTTTTATAATTCAAATAACCCTCATAAATACGGAATTGCTTTTTGAGTTCATCCATAGCGGTGCGTGCAGCAGTCGCTTCCTCCTGAGTGACTCCATCCCGAGAAAGTACGGCAGACAGTTCACGATATTTGTGGAAGAGTTCCAAAATACTCCTGTAATTTCTGATCGTCTCACCTATCGCCTCAGAACGACCTTGTATATCTTGAGCTGCTGATTTATCTCCAAGAATCGACGGATCCGTATCAACGTAATTGTTATATTTCCGCATTATAGGAATCAGCGTCAAAACCAAATCCATATATTGCTTCTGCATTCCACAGATAAACTCGATCTGATGCTGTAATTTTTCATTAGACGTCAAATACTCAATGCCTTTTAGTAATGGCGCCTTGTGTTGGTCGGCAGCGCCGGACGGGGTACTCGGATTGGTGGGACCACCCATAACAGGACGATTCATAAGAACCAGATGCACAATGAGCGCACTAGCGATAGCACTCGCTACGTTATTTCCGATACACACCATCATTGATGTTGTTCGGAGCGACGTCGAAGTTTATTGCTGGAGTTGTGCAAATATTGCCTTCCCACTCGTACCGAAAAATTAGATTCACTACACGGTCAATGTTTGTATTGACCTGTAGTATTATTTCAAGACATATCCGCTATCGCGAAATATGCAACTCAATACTGACAATTCCCAAACGGCAATGGCACACGCGTCACTGGGAAACGGTTAGCCAGTCATCCAACGACAAAGTTTTTACCCAAATAATTTCTGTTGGCACCAAGTATCCAACAAAACTTACTATCTTGTAAATGTCGATATTCAATTGCAGATTATAGCGACGAGATCACGAAACTATCACCGCCGTATAAACCAACAGCAGCGGGAAGTTTCCCCCGTTGCAGCTAAATTCCACAATGCGGGTGAATTTCCCACTAGATACATTTTATAATTATTGGATAATTACAAATTATACATACGTTCGAAACTTTGAACTCATGGTCTCCGAAAGATCGGTTATAACAATGACAACGGCAAATGCTGAATACTGTCCGGCGCTTTCAAGTCACGCAGTTCAGCAAGTGACATATCCATCATAAGTCGTATGTTAGGTGATCAGGGTTTGACACCGTATTTGTGTGAGTGACTCGGTGTAACTTATTACATCAAATGCGAAACAACAACTGCGGCACGACTGCGTTGAGGCCCCGTCCGTCGCCACGCCATTACAGA